TCTGATCAGTGCCCATCAATGCAGTCTGATCAGTGCCCATCAATGCAGTCTGATCAGTGCCCATCAATGCAGCCTCACCAGTGCCCATCAATGCAGCCTCACCAGTGCCCATCAATGCAGCCTCACCAGTGCCCATCAATGCAGTCTGATCAGTGCCCATCAATGCAGTCTGATCAGTGCCCATCAATGCAGCCTCACCAGTGCCCATCAATGCAACCTCACCAGTGCCCATCAATGCAGTCTGATCAGTGCCCATCAATGCAGTCTGATCAGTGCCCATCAATGCAGCCTCACCAGTGCCCATCAATGCAGTCTGATCAGTGCCCATCAATGCAGTCTGATCAGTGCCCATCAATGCAGCCTCACCAGTGCCCATCAATGCAGCCTCACCCCTGCTATAGTGTCCCAACAATGCAGTCTGATCAGTGCCCATCAATGCAGTCTGTTCAGTGCCCATCAATGCAGCCTCACCAGTGCCCATCAATGCAGCCTCACCAGTGCCCATCAATGCAGTCTGATCAGTGCCCATCAATGCAGTCTGATCAGTGCCCATCAATGCAGCCTCACCAGTGCCCATCAATGCAGCCTCACCAGTGCCCATCAATGCAGTCTGATCAGTGCCCATCAATGCAGTCTGATCAGTGCCCATCAATGCAGTCTGACCATAGTCTCTGATTGCCTCTAGGAGCATCTGGTGACACCACTGGATTGTTTCACGATCCGGTACACGGTAAACCCAAAAAACACCGGCGAGCGGCAGGGGACGTCTCATCCCACCGCTACTGAAAGTGTTTCACTGGCTAATGAGCTGCTTGGACTGCTTTCATTAGAAAGCCAGTCGTCGGCTGAAAAACAAGATACTGGAGTTTTGGCTGATATCTTCAACCATAACCTCGGTAAACCACTTGAAAACCGCAATATTTATATACAGTGAAGGAAATGCGTATTTGCTCCCCTGCTGATTTTGAATGTTTTCCCACTCACAAAGAAATGATCAGTCTGAAAATTGAATGGTAGGTGTATTGTAACACTGAGAGACAGAATAGCAACTAAAAATTCAAAAGCAATGCATATCTAACAAATTATACACTGATTTGCATGTTCATGAGGTAAATAAGTATTTGATCCTCTATCATTCAGCAGGATTTCTGGCTACCAGGTGTCTTTCATACAGGTAACAAGCTGAGATTAGAAGCAGTCTCTTAAAGGGAGTGCTGCTAATCTCATTTTGTTACCTGTATAAAAGACACTTGTCCACAGGAGCAATCAAACAATCAGATTCCAAACTCTCCACCATGGCAAAGACCAAAGAGCTGTCCAAGGATGTCAGGGACAAGATTGTAGACCTACACAAGGCTGGACTGGGCTACCAAACTATCTCCAAGCAGCTTGGTGAGAAGGTGACAACAGTTGGTGCAATCATTCACAAATGGAAGAAACACAAAACAGCTGTCAGTTACAATACACCGAACATTCGATTTTTAGACTGATCATTTTCTTTGTGAGTGAGCAAACATTCAAAATCAGCAGGGGAGCAAATATTTATTTCCTTCACTCTACCTATTGCTGTCTTCAAGTGGGTAGAGAGCCCTGTGTTGTTTACCAACACAGGGCTCTCTTCTCTCATTCACTCAGCTGTGTCATTCTGTCATTCCTTCAACTGTGCAGTGCGAGGGCCTGCCTAATTGGATACAACTGAAAGTGTTGTTTGAGTTTGACCTCATATTATATGGTTTTTGGTAAATCTAAAGCAAAAATCTCAAGAGAATTGAATAATGTATGTCCAGCCTAAAGATGAAGGCCAGCAACATTTAAAGCTAAGGCTGGCCATACATTATACAATTTTCTTACAAATTTCTGTTCAATTGCAGCCCAATTTCCTTTTGTATTTACCTTCAACTATGTAGTGCAAGGGCCTGCCTAATTGGATACAACTGAAAGTTTTGTTTAGGTTTGACCCCCTATTATATGCTTTTGGTAAATCTAAAGCAAAATTCTCAAGAAAATTGTATGATGTATGGCCAGCCTTATACCCCATATACACGATAAGAAAATCATACAAAAAATTTCGCAAAACCACTGATCGAACGATTTTCTCTTTGTTGATGAGCAGGATTTAACCAATAACGATATTGTGAAGAAAAAATCCGGTTGAACAACAGTGAAAACGTTTGTCGTGCGACAAACGACTGATTTTCTATGCGGTGGTATGACGGTCGTACGAAAAAAAAAAATCTATCAAGCGCTATCACGCATGAGTGGAAACAGAAGATGACCCGGATGTTTATGTCCAAGGAATCTTCATAAACTCAAAGGAAAAATCCAAATGTTAAAAGTCGATTGACAGAATGAGATGATGAAACCAGAATTCTGCAGATTTTATTTTATGTATCACTATTTATGTATATAGGTCATGTAATAAACGATATTATACTCATTGCTGGTCATTGTTGTGTATATTGATCGTTCTGGGCGCAAGGGCGTGGCTACAAGGTTCCACGCACACCGCATCACTTCCACTTGTACGGAAGACGTCAACACTACGTATTGCCCGACGAACGATTTTTTTAGATTGGTTAATGTGGGCCACAATTTCGACCAACAAACAAACGCCTCTCGGTCGTCGGATGACCAATCGGTCGATTTTCTAATCGTGTATTCCCAACTTAAGGTAGTAGACTGCCTTTCCTTTTCCTTCAACAACGCATATTTGTAAAGCAACGAGTGTGACTTTCACCAAACATTCACTGGTGGTGAATTAATCACCCTCATTCACTTGGAAAATTCACCTGCAGTGAATGTTTGTTTAAGGTCCAATTCACTGCGTCTGAATTTTCTCTGAATATTTTTACTTTCTTGTTTCTGTTATTTATTAAATGAAGAGAGAATAAAATGATGTTATAAGAATACTTGCCTTGAATGAACACCTGAGATGCAGTTTATTTCTGCTCTTTTTAACGGTCGGCTTTGCCTGTTTTTTTTTTTTCTTCACTGGATATCACACAAAATTCCTCGTGTTTTCTTTTGTTCCAGAAAGATCCCTATACAATGAATTCGGGCTCAGCGACACGTTCACTGCTGACAATGCCATTAACACATTTCAAATACTGTCACCACTGGTTGGGCAATGATGAGCTCAGTCACTTCCACAGCCCATGTGCATGTATTCCAGTAAGCTGATCTTTCACAATTGTGCCTTTAACCTCCTCGGCGGTATGATTCTTTCCGATTTTTTGTGCTGAAAGCGGTACATTTTTTTTGCATGGAAATATGTAGTTTTTTATTGTAGGCTGTAATTTTTAGGAATAACTCACTGAAATCTGTCCGAACAAGAGTCTAGTAAACATCCCGGGTATGATAAAATTTGAAACACGAAATAATAAATTATAATATAATAAATAATCATAAAAAATAATAATATAATAATAATAAATTTAATTCAATAATATAATCAAACCAAAAACACTGAAATTTGAAATACAGAGGCAAATTCGCACATCGCTGAGCAAAGTCGCAAAATCGTTTTTCAGTGTCTGATGACGAATTTCCCCCACGAATCATTATCACTCAATTCTGCAAGTGGTTCTGATTTACTATCGCTGCTCTAAAACCGCTTTTGACGTAAAGGGACGCTTTTTGGACGCCATGGACTTTTCTCAGTTTCCAGGCAGAAAGAACATTCAAAATGCAGGCAGGGCGCAGGACAAAGCAGTAGGGACAAAATATATGTGAAATGCATTGAAACAGTAATGACAGCAAAAATAACATTTTTTAAAAATTTCAAATTTCCCGCCGTACGTCCCGACGTCACAGGGGACCGGAACACAGAAGCCGGATGCCGGCATCGGCCGGAGGAGATGGCCGGGGACGCTGTAGGGGACACATCGCGGGAGCGAAGGACAAGGTAAGTGCTGCAGGGACCCCCAGAGCAGCGCCGCATGGTAAGCCCGAGTGTAGCTCGGGGTTACCGCTTTTGGTATAGAAATTTTACCCCGAGCTACACTCGGGAATACCGCTAAGGAGGTTAAAGGGATCCTGTCGCTTTGTTAAGAAAAAAAAATGGAATGGGAGCTAGCCTGTAAGAGAAGAAGTGGTATATTTACCTTTCCAATGGTGGCAAGTAAATGCTTTGCTTGCTTGCAGAGGTGTGGGCATCATCTGACACTTCGTGGTGTGTTGGATCACAGGTCTTCTGCTGCCCACTGTGGTTCCTTCCTCCAGCCATTGTGCCTTGTAGTGACAGCAAATGGTGGGAGCAACCACAGTGAGCAGTGGGGGACATGCTATTCAATACACCAAGTGCTGGATAACAGCAGTCTGGGGCTTTGCAAGTGTGAAGAAGACACGTAGATCACTTCTTCTGCTTTTCAAACATAGCGACAGGGTCAAAATCCCAATCCTAACATTAGGGGTCCATGGGATTGTGCACTCCATTAACACCCAGCATACCATAAGAACATACCTAATTAATAAAATAAACACACAACAAGGATTGTGGAAAAGTTTAGGCCACGGCTCCTTTATTGGGTTTAACCTCCCTAGCGGTCTGATTATGTCCGAATTTCTGTGCTCAAAGCGGTACATTTTTTTGCATGGAAATATGTCGTTTTTTTTATTGTAGGCCTGTAATTTTTAGGAATAACTCACTGAAATCTGTCTAGTCTAGTAAACATCCCGGGTATGATAAAATTTGAAACACGAAATCATAAATTATAATATAATAAATAATCATAAAAAATAATAATAAAATAATACATTTAATTCAATAATATAATCAAACCAAAACACTGAAATTTGAAATAGAGCGCCAAGTTCGCACATCACTGAGCAAAGTCACAGAATCGTTTTCAGTGTCTGATGACGAATTTCCCCCACGAATCATTATTACTCAATTCTGCAAGTGGTTCTAATTTACTATCTCTGTTCTCTAGCTGATCTAAAACCGCTTTTGACATAAAAAGACGCTTTTTGGATGCCATGGACATTTCTCAGTTTCCAGGCAGAAAGAACAGTAAAAATGCAGGCAGGGCGCCGGACAAAGCACTCGGGACAAAATGTATGTGAAATGGTTTGATACAGGAATGTTATACTATGTGATTTTAGTGTATTGAGTGAATGTCACTTTTTAAAATTTTGACATTTCCCGCCGGTTCCAGCCCCTGTATGTCCCATACATCCTGACGCTCGCAGGGGCCAGAATCCGGAAGACGGATGCCGGCATCGGCCAGAGGAAATGACCGGGGACGCTGCAGGGGACACATCGCGGGAGTGCAGGACAAAGTAAGTGATCGAGAGAATCCCAGAGCAACGCTGCAGGGTAATCCCGAGTGTAGATCCCGAGTGTAGCTTGGGGATGCCGCTTTTGGCACTGATAATTAACCCCGAGCTACACTCGGGAATACCGCCAGGGGGGTTAAATCAGTTTCAATTATGAAATGAACGTTAACCTTTAATACCAAAGAGAACTGCTGTTAGACACTAACAGACCAACATGATTAGTCACCAAGACTCAAGCAGCAATATCTTATACCAACCAAATAGCAGTTTACCAACCACTATCCAACCACAAAGTAGGTGACATTACCCCGCATAAAGGTGGACCGCGATGCGGGAAAAATTAACAAAGGGGAAGGAGGGTGGGAGGAACCACAGTGAGCAGTGCGGGACATGCTATTCGATACACCAAGAAGTGCTGGATAACAGCAGTCTGGGACTTTAAAAGTGTGAAGAAGATACGTAGATCACTTCTCCTGGTTTTCAACATAGCGACAGGGTAGAAATCACAATCCTAACATTAGGGGTTCATCCACACCTTGCTGTTCTGGTGTGTTGCGTTCACGTGCATTATGTTGCACTTTAGGCACACAGGGCGTTATTTAACCTTTCCTAAACACCTTTCCTCTTGTCAGCAGCATTTTTGCAGAAAAATTGTTTGATTCATGTAAACGTGTTTAGGTGTATCAAGCGCTTGGGTAATTCATTTTATTAGCTAGAATTCTGTCCATTGAAATAACTTAACGTTCAAGAGCTTTATTTCGCCTACTGTTAGTGTGTGTTTAGACGCATCAAACATTTTCTGCCAAAACACACCTGCTCCTGGATGCGCTGGCGGTGGAGTTTTTTTTTGCCTCTAAACAACCCTGCCTCCAAACTCAATGGTGCCATTGTCGCATGCAACCATTCGTGGCTCAAGCTGCCATGGCGTCAACCACCTCTGAGCCAGCAGAAGAGGCCATAGAGGCAGAGGAAGAGGAGGGGGTTGAGCAGACAGATGTGGCAGAATCACCAATAGCTTTTTGGAAGCATGGTGGCGGAACAAGCTCCAGCACTGAACCCTGTCCTGCATCCTTCCCAGCTGCTTGCAGAGTTACCCAGTGCACCGTGAAGGATATGTAACGTACCTGACCATGCCTTCTGGACCATGTGTCAGCAGTAATGTGGACCTTGCTGCTGACCGTTCTGTCCAACTAGGCCAAAACATGGCCTTCCCCATGATGGTACAGAGCTGGAATAACCTTACATGAAAATAATTGTCTTTTTTGGAACCTGCCACTGTGGTACTGCAGATTCTGCAAATTCATGGAAGGGGGCAGAGTCCACCAGATGGAAAGGCAGCAGTTGTAACACTAGCAATTTGACCAGGCTAACATTTAGATGCTGAGCATGTGGATGGGTGGGACAGTCATTTTTTTATGGTTCAGCAACTGGGGTAGTGAAATGTGTCTGTTGAAATCAACAGGTGGTGTACTGCTATCAGATGAGGTGCCAGGACCTGTGGCACCCACTGCTGTACCATCATTTCTCTCAGTGGAGGCTGTTGAGAAGACCTGACATTTTACTGTAGAGGTAGAGATCCCAGATGAGGAGCAAGAAGTCTGCACTTTTTTCTGATGTGGGTCTTTCAGGTGCCGTTGCCAACCGGCTGCGTGTCAGCTTGTCACATGTCTTGTCAGGCATGTGGTGCCCAAGCGGTTGGGGTTTTGGCCACACCTGATCTGCTTCAGAGACTGCAAACAGCAATGCTGTGGTCTGTTGCACATGTGTTGAAAAAATCCCACACCAGAGAACTTTTGGAAGCTTGCCGGGAGTCAGCAGCGTCCTGCACCTGTGGAGCTCTGCTATGCCATCGGTTGGCTGCCCTTATGCCTGCCCCTGGAGGACATCCTGCCTTGTTGGAGTTGTGCCTCCTCCTCACTTTCCTCCTTTGGTCTCTCAGGCACCCAAGTACAGTCAGTGAACTCATCATCCCTTCCTCCTCGACACTAGAGCCAACTTGGCAGTGTGCTGCGGCTGGCTGAACATGACTGCCAATTTCTTTTCCCTCATTGGCAACCCACCCCCCTCTCTCTAGGCTAACGTCACTCCTTTTCTCAACCTGGGAACCATCGGAGCATTCAAATTGCTGCACATCCTCCAGCAGCATGAACAGGTGAAACGCGAAAAATTAGAATATCGTGCAAAAGTTCATTTATTTCAGTAATGCAACTTAAAAGGTGAAACTAATGTATGAGATACTCATTACATGCAAAGCAAGATAGTTCAAGCTGTGATTTGTCATAATTGTGATGATTATGGCTTACAGCTCATGAAGACCCCAAATCCACAATCTCAGAAAATTTGAATCTTGTGAAAAGGTGGAATATTCTCTGCTCAAAGTGTCCCACTCTAATCAGCTAATTAAGCCATAACACCTGCAAAGGGTTCCTGAGCCTTTAAACGGTCTCTCAGTCTGGTTCAGTAGGAATCACAATCATGGGAAAGACTGCTGACCTGACAGTTGTGCAGAAAACCATCATTGACACCCTCCATAAGGAGGGAAAGCCTCAAAAGGTAATTGCAAAAGAAGTTGGATTTTCCGAAAGTGCTGTATCAAAGCACATTAATAGAAAGTTATGTGGAAGGGAAAAGTATGGAAGAAAAAGGTGCACAAGCAGCAGGGATGACTGCAGCCTTGAGAGGATTGTCAGAAAAAGGCCATTCAAAAGTGTTGGGGACTTTCACAAGGAGTGGACTGAGGCTGGAGTCAGTGCATCAATAGCCAACACACACAGATGGATCCTGGACATGGGCTTCAAATGTCGTATTCCTCTTGTCAAGCCACTCCTGAACAACAAACAACGTCAGAAGCGTCTTACCTGGGCTATAGAAAAACAGACCTGGTCTGCCAGATGAGGCAGAGATCTGGCTGCATTGATGTTGGAACCCTGGAGGATTTGCTGGCTGTGATCATCTGGCTGTCTTGGGCCCAATAAATGTGCTTTTATTGTTCATTGAAATGTGAGTCGCCTGCAGTTTGTTTAATATAGGATCAGAATGATCTTGGCAATATTACACTATGTAAGTTTTTTTCTCTGAGAACGCGGTGGAGGAAGCGAGGAGATCACGGTGAGGACCTGAAAGAGGATCTTATCTTTGGGAGGCTAATTTTGAGTGGATGGAAAGAGGGCGTGGGATTCCCTATTAAAATCCCAAAGGCTTTACATTCACCTAAATCTGGTGAGTGCATTTGATGTTGGTGTGCACGGGTGAAAGGTGGAAGGCTAAGAATTTCATTTGGAGGTCTTTATTTTGCACTACAAGGGACTTTTAATGAGTTTTTTGACACAAATATGTACTAAGTGATATGGGGTTTTGATATTTTGTCATTTAATAATATCTATTTTGCGCGGTTTATTTTTCACATTTCACTTGTTTGTGTATTCACAATTTTTGCACAGCAGCAATTTAGAAGAGTGATTTATTTATTTATCTAATCTTGATTGGCTCAGGAATATTTTTTCTTTTAACACACTGCAAGATGCTTGAATTCCAGTGTGAGGTTTCCACAGTCTGTGTTGATTTGGGGAGCCATGTCATCTGCTGGTGTTGGTCCACTGTGCTTCATTAAGTCCAGGGTCAACGCAGCCGTCTACCAGGAGATTTTGGAGCACTTCATGCTTCCTTCCACAGATGAGCTTTATGGGGATGCTGACTTAATTTTCCAGCAGGACTTGGCACCGCCCACACTGCCAAAAGTACCAAAACCTGGTTCAATGACCGTGGGATTACTGTGCTTGATTGGCCAGCAAACTCGCCTGACCTGAACCCCATAGAGAATCTATGGGGCATTGCCAAGAGAAAGATGAGAGACATGAGACCGAACAATGCAGAAGAGCTGAAGGCTGCTATTGAAGCATCCTGGTCTTTCATAACACCTTGTCAGGGAGCGAGGAGCCAGACACACAAGGAGGTGCAATTAAAGGTAGGTTTATTAATATAAAAATAAGACAAGAGTCTATGCAAGTCCAACAGCGGAAATCGTAGCCAAAGCCAGGGTCAAGAGCCAGGAAGAATCGTCGCCAGAGCCGGGATCAGGAGCCAGGAAGAATCGTCGCCAGAGCCGGGATCAGGAGCCAGGAAGAATGGTTGCCAGAGCCGGGGTCAGAAGCCAGGAGGAGCCTTAGCCAAAGCCGAGTCGGTATCCAGGAAAGCAATTAGTAGCTAAACAGGAGCTTCCTGTTGTGCAACAGACAGGACACAAATGCAATGGACAGCCACAAACAGCAGGCTTATATGTGATAAGCCGCCACCTCCTGGGGGAGGAGCCGCAGAGGGCTGAAAGCATAAAGGATCCCACAATGCTTTGCAGACACCTAAGATTGATGCCAGCACATGGAGCAGCACAAGGTCTGAGGAAAGGTAGGACCTTGGCACACCTCAGCAGTGCCACAGGTTGATAGCTTCCATGCCACACTGCATTGAGGCAGTAATTGCTGCAAAAGGGGCGCAAACCAAGTATTGAGTACATATGCATGATTATACTTTTCAGAGGTCCGATATTGTTCTATGTACAATCCTTGTTTTATTGATTGCATGTAATATTCTCATTTTCTGAGATTGTGGATTTGGGGTTTTCATGAGCTGTAAGCCATAATCATCACAATGATGACAAATCACGGCTTGAACTATCTTGCTTTGCATGTAATGAGTCTATCTCATATATTAGTTTCACCTTTTAAGTTGCATTACTGAAATAAATGAACTTTTGCACGATATTCTAATTTTTCGAGTTTCACCTGTAACTGACACTATGATCAAATAATTCTTGTGACTCCTCAGTGCATGAAAGTGGGGCTATGGAAGGAGCAGCTGTAGTGGACAAGGAGCCTGTGGAATAGGCCACTTTGGCAGCTGCAGTGGAAGGAAAATTAGTATGAGCCTGGGTGACAGAGGATGAAGAGGATGAGGATGGCTGAGTTATCCACTTCAACATCTCTTCTGCATGTTGTGGCTCAATAATACAGCCAGTACCGGAAAAAAAGTACAAGCGTGCAGAGGATACACCATGACCACTTTTCACTGTGGACACAGGCT